CCCAAGCTTTTATAGAAAATTCATCCGATAACTCTACCAAGATAGTGTGTATTGCCCACAACAACATGGTCTTCAATGTCAAACAAAAAATGTCTCACATAGCTTAGAACTTGAAAGGAACAAGAAGATTTTTGGAATATAATCATGATAATAAGCACAAAAGGATATCGGAGCATAAAAGATAAAATCAAATTATCCTAGTTGATAGAAAACTTGTAATGGGTATATTTAATGGATTTGATCTCATTGATCAGCATTGATTCCAAATATACGAACTTTGTGCATATGTGAGAACTTGGCAACCACCAGAACCAAAACTGCTAGTGTGCAGAAGAAGAGCATAGGGTGTTGATAATCTGTAGTGTGTGATGCTATGAAGTATCTCCCGTAAGAATCTAATGGGAAACCACTGAAAGAGATGAAAATTCTGAGGATTTTATTATAATGCTGAATGTAAACGTAGAGAAACGAAATACAAGAAAGTAACCAGACTTTTTCTACTCGATGATTGCTTGCCTATCTCCTATTTCTTCCTCCCTATTTATAACCTGTATCTCATAAATTTATTCCCCTCCCCCCACATGCTTTTGTAATAGAATTTTGTTAAGCCTGCCTTTCAGTTGATTCTCCACCCTTCTTGAATCTTCTAGAGTAGGTGAAGTGGATGGGAGGCCTATCAATACGCCCGATTTCCAAAGACACATTGTCCTCAAGGTGGAAGTTGAGGAAGTGTTGTAGAATAGAGTCCACTAATTCCCCTGAAGTATCTGTCACAAGTAAGCTTTTCCATTGGATCACTACCTCTTTTACTAGTGGTTGACTTGGAGGTGGCGGACATCCAGGATTTGTTCTAGTTCTACAGCCCAGTCCAGATCAGCAGTGAGATGAGTTGGAAATGGCTGGGTTGCTATTCTTGATCCCCGAGCCTTTTTTAGTTGAGATACATGAAAAACTAGATGTATTGAGGCTGTGGAAGACAAGTCCAGATGATAGGTCACTGGCCCTATACATTTCAACACTTCAAATGGGCCAATGTATTTAGGCCCCAATTTCTCATTTGGTTATTTTGCTAAGAAACGGAGACGGTATGGTCGTAACTTGACATAGACTAACTCTCCCTCAGCAAATTGGACGTCTCTTCGATGTTGGTCTACTGCTAACCTCATCTTAGCTTGAGCACGGCTGAGATGAGCTTTCAATTCATCTAATATTAAGTCCCTGGCCTGCAACTATTGTTCGATAGAGTGCCCCTAGTAGTTTGGCTGCCATAACAAATTAAAGAAGCGGGGTCCCTTCCATAAACAGCTCGAAATGGAGTGACCCAAGTGGACCAATTTTTGGGTTTGTCGTAAGAAAAACATCGAAGAAATCTCTCAATGCATATGTTAATCACTTCAGTTTGCACATCCATTTGAGGGTGATAGGCCATGCTTCGACGGAAATACATTCCCTGTAGGCGAAAAATTTATGCCCAAAATTGACTTAAGAAGACTTTGTCCCTATCAGAAATGATTGAGCTGGGGTGCCAGGAAGTCGCACAATCTCTTTAACAAAAGGGCTGCCACCCCTGAAGCTATGAAGGGATGCTTCAAAAGTGGGAAGTGTGCATACCTATTCAGGCGGTCGACCACAACCAGCAGTGTGTTGTAACCACCAGATGTCGAAAGCCCTTCAACGAAGTCCATTAAGATATCCTCCCATATCTGACAGGGAATTGGTAAGGGTTGTAGAAGTCTGACCAGAGAAAGGGTAAGATACTTGTTTTATGACAAATTGTACACTCTTCCACAAATTTTTTTAGGTCTGGGCAAAAAAATCGAAAAACCGATCAAACCAATCAAGTCGAACCGACTCGTGTTAGTTCGAATCAGTTTGACACAGGTAATTGGTTTTGGTTTAGTTTTATTTTAACCATGGTGCATCGGTTCAGTCATGATTTGAAGTCTCAAACCATTGGTTAACCGAATCAACCCAATCCACTTACATGTTCACTTTTTTTTTAATTTAAAAAAAAAAATCAAAAGATAAGCCCTAATCACATAACTATATCTCAATTCCTTCCAATTTTTGATTTTGCTGATAAGTAATAGAATTGAAAATTTCCTTTTGCAATCTTGTTATGTTATATTTAGCATTTTTTCCTTACTCAAGCAGTCAGACTACATAATACATAGAAAAACAACAAAACTTTTAAGTTTTATGTTGATCCGTCTCTATTAACTTGATTTTATTTGTTAGTCAATTGTTCTTGTAATATAAAATTTGGTTATTTTAGTTTTTGTAATCTAAATATGCCCATAACCCAGACATTTAAAAAAAAAACCAATTTGGACTAAAAATCCAAACCGACTAACCGAACCAATTCGATTTGGTTTAGTTCGGTTTAAAAACTAAAGTGGGTGGGTTTGGATTGAAATTCATCCAAACCGACTAATTTGGTTTTGGTTTCGAGTTAAAGTCAAAACTAGCCCAAACCAAACCACGCCTAGGCCTAAATTTTTTGATGTCTTTCTTCATCTCCTTCTAGTAAAGGTTGCTAGTCAGTCTTTTGTAAGTTCGAAGGAACCTAGAGTGTCCTCTGAAGGTACTGTAGTTAAACTCCTTAAGAATAGTGGGAACTAAGGGAGAGGAGAGAGGGACGACAAGTTTTCCTTTGAATAATAGCCTACCTTGTTTGATTGAGTATCTGGGATGAGCATCTAGGTCTTCTTGTAACTCCTTTATTATCTTTGAGAGTAGCGCGTCGTCTTTTACCTGATTGGTCATTAACTGTACATCCAATACTTGAAGGAATGTAAGGGCAGCTAGTTCAACTGGGTTGGGAAGGCGTGACAGGGTGTCTGTGCCTCTATTTTCCATCCCTGGTCTGTAGTGTATCTCGAACTCGTATCCCAATATTTCAGTCACCCACTTCTAGAATTTCATCGAACTCTTTGCTCGAGAAGGAACCTTAAGCTGCGCTAATCAGTGTGTACTATGAAATTTCTTCCCATAATATATGCCCTGTTTGAGCCACATTTTTTTTAAAAGAATACATTCTTAAACAGTGATCTGACATCATTTCAACCACATATTCTTTAATAAAATAATATTAAACGCAAATACAAAACTTTTCCTCATTTTTTAACCACACATTCTCCATCAATCTATTATTCCAAAATACATTCTTTCAAATTAATATGGCTTAAACACACACATAATGTTGCCATTTTTAGACCGCCAGCATAATTGCCATCAATTCCCTTTCATAGATAGATTTGTGTTGTGACTTAATTGACAACACTTGGCTGTAATATGCGATGGGCTGCTGTTCTTGCATAAGTATTGCCCCCAATCCGTGGCCGATGCATCTGTTTCAATGATGAAAGGCTTTGAGAAATCTAGAAGAGCTAGGACTAGTATGGTTGTCATGGCTATTTTCAATTTTCGGAATGCTGGTTCTGCTTCTTCATTCCATCAAAAGGCTTCCTTCTTTAGTTGTTGCATCAGTGGCCATGAAATTGTGCCATACCCTGCCACAAATCGCCTGTAGTACCCAATTAAACCCAAAAATCCCCTTAGTTCTCTAATGTTACAAGGTTGGCCATTGCACCATGGCTTCTATCTTCTTTGGGTCAGCTGCTACTCCCTCTTTAGATACCAGGTGGCCAAAGTACTCTATCAATTTTTGGGCAAAAATGCACTTCTTGAAACTTTCATATAGCTGGTAGGCAGATAGAGAAGTAAAGACTATCTCTAAGTGTTGCTCGTGTTGGAAGATCCTTGCTGTAGACTAAAATACCATCGAAGAAGACCAAAACAAATTTCTTTAGGTAAACCTGAAAACCTGATTCACCAGGGACTGAAAAGTTGCCGGCGCATTAGTGAGACCAAAGGGCATGACAAGGAACTCATGTTACCCCTCATGTGTTCGGAATGCAGTCTTATGAACATCTACCTTCCATACCCTAATTTGATGATATCCCAATTTAAGGTCTAATTTCGAGAACACAGTAGTTCCATGAAGTTCATCCAAAAGCTCATCGCTCACAGGAATTGGAAACTTGTCTGGAATGATTACTTTGTTCAATGCCCTGTAGTCTGCACACAAAATGCCAATTGCCATCGTTTTTTTGACAAGTAACACCGGACTAGAAAATGGGCCGACACTTGGTCGAATAATTCCTGCAGCTACCAGTCGTTCAATTTCATTTTTCTGGATAAGGGGGTATCGAAATGGCCTGAAACTAAGGAGCTGTTTTCTTCGTGTTTCAGTTTTGTAATTTTGAATTTTGAATTCATTTTGAGTTTTGTATTTTGAGTGCCTGTTTTGAAATTGCTGAAAATACGTTCTCTTTGTCATTCTGGAAAACTGTTTCTCAAAATATAAAATTGGGAAACGCGTTTACTTTGAAATTTTTAGAATATTTTTTTATAATATTTTGTTCAAGAAATCTAATTATTCAATAAATTTTAATAGTTTAATGTTGATATAGTATTAAACATACTATTAGTTGAACTTTATAGAATTATTTCATGTTAGTCGTTGGATTTTATTTTTATTTAAAACTAGTAACCAACTTCAATTTCTGTTCAAATATGACCATTATGCATATCTCCATGATTAAAACTAATGGCTCGTCCATATCTTACAGATTGCTTGAAGTTCTTAAAACTAATTCCATTTGTAATTATTTTTCATTTCCATCACTACGCAAGCAATGGAAAATATACAATAATGGGTAGCAAATTCCACCCCATTTTGAGTCGGGACGATAGTTTTTAATCGTGCATAAATACAAAATAACCAAGCCAAAACAAAAACATAAATTGAAATTCAATAACATGAAACATGTTCGTGAAATGTAAAACTTGTCTTGATTAAAACCTTAGGTGTACAAATTACTTCAAAAGTTTATAGTCCTTTTGAGGCAAATAACACATTTGATGTTATTATACTCACAATCAAGTATCATATCCAAAAAAATAACATCCCCTTTATTCTTTTTTTTTTTTTTTTAATGGGAACATCCCCTCTATTCTAATGCAAAAGAATGTGTGCAAAACATGTCGTGGCTCCATAACTTATGCTTTCCATTCACAGTCTGGTTGTGCAAATTTGATCTTCTCTACCGACTTGCGAATTCCACTGCAACTCTAGTTGAAGGAAGCAATACATACATTGCCTGCTTGTGCTTGTGCTTGTGCTTGTGCTTGTGTTTGTGCAATACATGTGATCACTGAATGCGAAGCTTTTCAAGTTGGAGGATTGCAAGATCTCACCCTCACCCCGAAGAATCCGGGGTATAGAAGCAGACGATGCCTTGCTGCTTGGATTACTTAGCTCGATCCCATTTCCATTGACATTTTTAGAAGAAATAACACCTACATATATTTTCTAGTTTGATTGTAATAAAATTAAATATCACAAATTCAAATCAGAATTTTTCATTGTTGAACCAAACATATTACATTTCTTAAAATAACTAAAATTCAATCACAAATTGTGTAGATAAATAGTAGATATTTCTTTTACAGTAACATGTGTAATGGAAAATGCATCAATGGTTTACCCCCAAAATAAAAACCATTTGGGAAAATATCAAGCAAGTGGGATCTGTAGTCTCAAATACCTATTGCATTGTTTTTCCTTGGCAGGTTCAATAGGAAATTAAAGACCAATTACCCTTAACTCAGAAAATGCAGATTATGTGAATTTCAATTTCACTTCCAGCCCATTTATTCCATCTATATTAAAACATTAGCAATTATAACACGGAGCAGAAACATATGTTGGAGGGCATATATGACCTAACTAACAGGATATAAAGAACAAGAGATCATATAAACAAAGAAACACAAACGATTTCATGTGTCACAAATTCTACTTCTAAAACGAAGCTATAAAGAGGTGAGCTTTCCCATAATACAAAAACTTAAACAATAACAAAGAGCAAGACATTTTAATCTATTGCTAAAGGGATTGACAAAATTCAGAAAATTACTGTACCAATATGAAAATTGCTCTCAGCCATGATTTGGTTGCTCAAGCAAATCCCTTTTACAGTTCCTCAAAAATATAAAAACTTTATAGCTCAAGAAAACATAGCTAAAACAAACAAAAAAAAAAAAAAAAAAAAAAAAAAAAAAAAAAACAAAGGGTTTTTGAAAAATTTTAAAAAAAAAAAAAAAAAAAAAAAAAAAAAAAAAAAAAAAAAAAAAAAAAAAAAAAAAAAAAAAAAACTCAAAGGTTATTATAAATAGTTATCAGATTACTGCAACTGCAATTTCCATTTGTCTCAGTTTGAAGCTCCATTCCATGCAGAAGAAGGACATCAATTAAGGTATGTTAGTTCCTTCTTTTAGGTGACATTGGCGAAATTAGAGGCACGGTGTCAGCTAGTTTTTATTTTTGTATTTCATTTTGTCCGATATTTTATTAGTGGGCCTCTGAAAATCAACCTTCAAATACCAAAATTCATATCAATAAAGCATTAATTACCTACAAATCCATAGAAACCGAACAATCTCTAAGAAGGCAATAATACAGACCTAACATATATAACTTTTTCAAAGCAAGAAAATCACTAGCTTTGCCACTTCAATTTCCAGATCTGTAGCGAAAACTGGCAAATTTGGGGATATTTCCAATTTACATTAATGTTCATGCAAGATCCCTTCTTCCTTTTCTCTTGTGAAACGAGACTCAATAAAAGCTAAAACAACCACCCATAATCATAAATGAATAAATAAATAATTCCCATATCCCACATCAAAACCAAAAGATCCCATAAAAATAAGCACTTACTAATATCACCAATAAAAAAAAAATTTATTTTGTAAACATTCAATTAAACACTTGAAATTCCAACAGAAATGGAAGAAAATGAATACCAGAGACATGAGAAGAGTCCTTGATTGTCTTGGAAATTCCAGGGTTGGATGAATCAGATATAACCTCCTTGACAAGGAAAACGTATGCAAATCCACCCTCTCCCAGCTGCCTCAAGATCCTGAACCGATTCTCACTGATCCAAACATCCCCTCCACCATTAACAGCGTCGTAAAGGGCATTCAATCCCGAGAACAAGCAACCCATTTCTCTATATACCTATCGATTTGTTTGCTCCTTCCCTACGATTCCAAATTGAATGCAAATGGCCAAGACTTCTCTCCCTTTCTTTCTACTCCATAAAGCTAAAAATAATGTGATTGATTGAATTTAACTCATGAGTAAATAATTTCTGGTACAAGTTCCCCGTCTCACGCACGGTTTTGGAGGAAGAGGAATTTGGGATTGTTTTCTGCATTTTGGTTCATTTCCTGATTTGGCTCCAAAACGCTGAAAACGTCTTTTTCACCGTTTTCCATTTTTAGTACAATTTTTTTTTTTCAAAATTCGTTTTCGAAAATGGAAAAAAGAACACGTTTTCATCGTTTTAGAAAATCGAAAACAAAAAACGGTTTGAAAAAGTCCCTAATTAGTTCAGTTCCATCCTTCAACAGAATTGAGTGTTTTGTGTCTTAATTTGGGGATAACCCATGTGGGTCCCTAAACACCTGTTGATGTTTCTGTAACACTCTTTGCACTCCCTCGGCTAACCTCAACTCATTTTCCAACCCAGCAGACTTACTAAAAGATCCTTCTAATTCTATCAAGACTCCCTGACTTTCATTTTGCAAGGCTTTCATCATTGCCCTTAATGAAATTCCGAATTTATTAAGCCCTAGATTTCCTTTTAACGTCATCAAAGTCTCACCCATTCAGAGCCTCATGGTGAGGAGCTTCCAATTAACCTCCATGCTGCCCAAACTTCCCAACCATTGCATCTCAGTACCACATGTGTACTTCCTAATTCTAGGGACAATAAATCTTCAACTATAGTCAAACCATGTAATTCTAGAACTACTCCCTTACAAATTCCCCTTCCCTTCACCGACTCTCCTGTCCCCATCACAACCCCGTAGTTCGTTGTTGCCGCCATCGGAATCCTCAGCTTCTGGACCACCTCTAGTGATATAAAATTGTGGGTTGCCCCACAGTTGATCAGTACTGTTACTATGCTAGTGCCTACTGTCCCCCTCAATTTCATTGTGCTTGGTGTGATTAGACCGACCACGGAGCTAAGTGATAACTCCACCTTGTCGATGACCTTTAGGGGCTGATCTACCATTGAATTTTTGAAGGCCTCCTCGTCTTCAACGTCATCGCCTTCTACTAGTAGGACACGGAGTTCACGATTCTTACACTGGTCGCCCACAGTAATTTTTCATCACATCAAAAACAAAGCCCCTTATCTCGCCTCATTTACCATTCTGCTTCTGTCATGCGTTTGGTTGGAAATTCTATCCAGTTTTTTGTTAATTTCTCCCCCACCGTGACCATTTTAACGGGATAGTTTTTATATTGGCTGAATTATTGAGCCTATTTTTCACAATAACCTTTTCTATGAAAAGTATTATTTTACTCCTATTAAAATTATTTGTAAGATATATCCTTTATCTTTAGGAACTTATTATTCAGGATCTATCTCTATATTTTTTAATCTTTTGAACACTTTTAAATATTCTTTGTATCTTAATAATTCTTCAAAAATCCTAGGTTGTCCTTTCTTAGTTATATATCGTAGAACTAATCCTTCTGAGACTTCTTCTTATATATCTCTATGCTTAATTATAATATCATCAATCTTTCTTATTTCTCTATTAATTCTTACAGAATCAAATTTTGTATTATATTTACAATTATAATCTATATTTCTATATATTTCTTTAATTTTTTCTATGCCAACAGGAAATATATCATCAGACTTTTCTGCTAACTTAAAATAAGAACGAAACATCTTTTTCATCTAAAAATAATATAAGATTCTTATCATCATTAGTGGTAGAAGTGGATGCTTGTGAATTGTTCATCAAAATAATTAAAGCATAAGGATATAAAACAAGTAATAACTTACAGTAATCAAATTGATATAAAAAGGCTTTCCCTCCAGTATATTCTTATAGATGTTTTGCATGTACTTTAATCAATCTTCTGAATCAAGTAAAGTTTTAAAATGTTTTGAAATCATTTGGGTCCACAACTGCTTCCGCAAAAGGTTTTTCAATTAAGGTTGCATTTCTCATTCTAGAGAACTAGTCGTGTTTCCACAGACGCTATCTCATAGTATCCAGAGTCTCTGTTTTCACCTCTATCCAAACTCTTTTCAGAATCAAGTTCCTACTTGGAACGAAATTTTAAAAGATAACTCACACACAAGGTGCTACAATTTTGTTAGAAAATTGCCCTTTTCCCCTAAACCATTCATCAAATATGGGTACTTTGACATGGCTAACATCCATTCAAAATCAATGTTTTGAAAATCTTTTAAAATCTCTATTTGTACTGCCGAGGAATCATGAGAAACTTAAAGAAATCCTTTTATGTAAGCTTTGTTGAACATAACAAACTTTACTTTGATATTCATAAATTGAAATTGTACATGCTTACAAACTATATTTACATACCTTTGTTACTCACCTTATGAAGTTTAAAACTCCATAAGTGATTACCTTATTACACGCTTTCTTATCTTCAAACTATCTAATATTTTTTCTGAATACAAGTGGTGTATACAGATTACAAAATATTTCTCTCAAATATGTTTCAGAGATATGCTATTTCGAGATGCCTTCCTTCTTCCTTCATGCCCCTTCTTATAGGAGATTTTGGAATCTTATCTTGGACAGTTGTTTTCCACCTTTCTTTGTTGGGTAGTTAGGCCATCTTATCTCCACCGAATTTTTCCATTATCTTCTTGCTAGTGGACCTCTCCTTTTGAAATTAGATACCTTATCTTTTGAGTTTGTCT